AAATTGAGTGCATAAACAGGTGCAGATCCCTTAATTGATACACTTGCTCGTAAATTAAGGGACAAATTTGCTGATCGTTATATATTCTTTAATAATATCAAATAAAATTTGGTTGTGATTTATATTATTTTAATTATATTATTTTAACAAAAAATTATTATTTGTATTTTATTTATTATTTTTTATTTATTACTTGTATTATTTATTATTTATATTATTTATTTATTATTTGTATTATTTATTTATTATTATTATTTTTGTTATTTAAAAAATGTCAGAAAAATATTATATTATTTTGATTTTTGTGTTGCTGATCTAAGAAAGACAACATTTATTTTTATTTTTGTATTTGTATTTGTATTTTTATATAGTTATTATTAATTAGTACTTCAGAAAAGCTTTAATAGTTATTATATTTATTTTTATATAATTATTATTATTAATATTTTGGAAAAATCTTGATAATTATTTATTTTAATTTCATTGATTCTTGTTGAAGTTATGTTCAATCTCATTATTTTATTATTTGATATTTGAATTATAAGTTTTGATAATTTAGTAGTTTGATCTTTTATATGAACACAATTACTCATTATTTTTCAAAAATATTATTATAGATAATAATTTTGGAATTAGTAACAATATCTTGTGTTAGATTTGTTTTGTCAGGTTAATTAAAAATTTGTGCATTCTTATTAGTGATTGACAAAAATTTATACATCCTTATTGGATGAATTACAGACTTTAGTTTACTTCTTAATTGAACTTTTTACTGTTTTTGAGATTTGATTCAGGATTATAAAAATCATGATCATTTCTTAGATATATTTCTAAACTGGAATTGGATGAATCAAAAACACTTTTTGTTTCAGATTCGAATGAATCAGATATATTCATTATAAAATTTATAAATATTTAGTTACAGGTACTATGATTCTTTCCTGCAAGATCTTTTAATATGTGAATATATCTATATAAAAATTATGAATAGTTCAAGTGTTAAATAAATTATCTATACAGTTTAAGAAACAAATTGTAAAATATAATTATATTTTTAGTGTTTAGATGGTATCAAAGTATTATTATATTAAAATTTGATTATATTAGATCTATTAGTAATTGATTTAAACTATTATATTGTATCAAATTTAATTGATTTAAATCGAATTGAATTGATCTTTTATTAATTAATTAAGATTGTATATAAAAATGCTCAAGTTCAAAAAAGAAAATAAATACTATTTTACAAAAAAAAGGGTTTAAAAATAAAGTTTATGTGTGTATTTCTATACAAAATAATCCCATGCATAAAATTAAAACACCCAAAACAAATCTACACTCTATTGATTAAATATTAATGCTTTGAATTTGGTGTATATGCATCTACTAAAAAGAAAATGTAAATAATTAAACAGAAGGCGTTGTTCCGTGCGAAAACGAACCACCAGGAGTTCGAGTATGCCGTAAGAAAGAATCCATCGGAAAGGTGCTACTACTCTCCGAGAAAACAGATTCTACATCATCATACCACGATACGTTGTCATCTTCAGTATAAGATGCAGAACTTATAGATTGCAGACGCGCCGCAAATTCATCAGAATCTCGGACCACCGATGAATTGTCATTGAATGATGGGATTGTGTGTGTTGAAGACGAGGACGAACTAGTGCGTATGTAATATGGCTCTACATACGATCTTAATGAACCCATCGATGGGGATTCTGAAAGGTGTCGATCAAATATAGTGTCGTATTGTGAATAGTATTCAGGATTTGTCTGGTCCGAAAAATCGTCGCCTAGATCTTGTTGTATTATGCGTGGGATTTGATAAGCTAAGGGTAATGTCATTGAGCGCCCTCGTGAATCACCATTTATCCTGATACTGTTACTGCTACCAACACCGTCATGGATCATCATATCGGCGTCATCATCTATGGGATTAAAATAGTTTTCTAAATCTTCTAATTTTGAAACGATTTCTGCCGCGATTTCGGGGAAAAATTCGTAATCCACAGGTGTCATACTGACTTTACATGTCAAGCAAACTGCTTGCACATTTTGTCGTGTCATCAAAGCAACATTTACAGGATCAGGAACAGCCCATCCAGAATCATCTGGAATACCAAACAAACTTGCCGTCGTATCAAAATCTTTTTGAACCTTTTTTGCATGTATGCTCATTCGTATTATATGCCTATCCTTTGGCCCACCAGTGATCGAGATTGTCTCATCCAGCACCTCAATAGCCTCTTGCGAGTATGTTGTTGGCAAGAGACGAAGAAGAGGAAGAATGAGCTCCGCGCCAATATTATAGAGTTCAGTACGTTGTGTATTGACAAACGGAAGCAAGATTTTAAGAATTTTCATTGTTTTCAGTTTGTAATATGGAATCTTGTTTGATAAGAGACTCATCAGAAAGAGTAAAGTTTGTGCTTCGTATTCAGGGAAATAGTTATCTCGGATCACGTTAATTATTTGTTTCAGGAAATCATCATCTTTTTGTCGGAAACGATCTTTCATGTATGAACCGAGAACACGAACGATATTATTGCGTTCTTCTTGTTCCGCAATCAGTGATAGATTTTGAGCCCACTCGATGCAATCATCAGGCACCGTATTACTGCTCAATACATCAGCCATACGAGGAAGATTGGCCAAAATAAGATATAATAGTTTTCCTTTTGATGGATCAACAAATTGATCATTCAGATGGATCAACTTCTTTAGCATATTAAAAGTTGGTTGAAGTGAGATAGACGATCGAATTCCTTTTAACAGTAACGGTTGAATCCCCTCAAATTTTCCTTGCCATTGACCCGGGAAATAACTCCAAAAGAGCTCTTGATTTTCCGGATCTTGCATATCAAATTTTTTCAGTATTTTTTCGAGTATTCCGAGAGCCTCTAAAAATTCTGGTTCATTAATAGTCTGAAGACACGCTATCGTGGCCCAAAGCATTTGTGGGAATATTTCTTTGGTGCCTGGTTCAAGCCAGTCGACCACGTGAGTAAGAGTAATTAATATTTCTAATGCGAAACCTTGTATTTCTTCGGTGGTATCAGCAATTGTAGCGCCAAGACGAAGCAGCATGTCAGCTAACATAGCAATATTGAATATCGGTTTAAGTGATCGAAATATTTGGAATGAGCGACAAACAATATGACGAACAGGACATGTTGTTGCCCAACTTAAGGCTTGTTCGCCCCACATTTGCTGTAGATTTTCTTGATCTCGTTCACCGAAAACTTTAATTACGTCTTTTGCTAGTCTATCAAGTTCTATGAAGCTACTTAAGGACCTGTTAGTATAATTTATATCTTCGTATTGCCAAAGTTGCGGACCTTCTTTAGCTTTCAATTCCACGACTAAAACCGATCCTAAACTTACTATATCCGGATAAACAGATCTGCCAATGATAATTGAGTATATAAGATTGACTAAAAGTGAGCGTGTTTCCTCGCTAATTAGAAGATTCACCGAGTCCAATTGCACGAAAAGTACATGCAATAATAATGGCAAATACATTTGAAGATCAGGTCCAGCTTCAATTGCCATATCAACCATATACAGCATTGCTAATTGTCCCGCAGAGAAAACCGGCCTTTTATTATGAGCGGGTAATACCTCATCGAAACTCGCGTACCATAAACCAAGTGTGCCCTTTTTTGTCGTGTCTTCTTTTTCACGTGGTTGTGGTGTCATTGATCTTGGTGTTATTTTCGAAATCAATTTTTCGATCACAGCTGCGCATGCTGGTGTTCGTCCAAGAAATACAAATACTCTTTTAGCATGAGTTACGAAATTTGGATTTCTCTTTTCTAGACCAACATCAATTAGAAATTTTACGATAGCTTGAACATTTGGTACGTGCTCTCCCGTGACTAATTGTTGCCAAATCAATTCCACTTCTTTTACGTAAATATCACCATATTTTACCGTAATAAAGAACAAATTGGAGATGATCATGTTGGTTGTCGGTGGCAATTCATCTTCATCATTAACGATTAATTCAATATTACGCAACCATGGTAAAAAGTAATTGAGCATATCTCGTTGACCTCTTTCACCAACTGCCTCAAATCTAAACGTGAATTCGGAAAGCATGTAATGCGATTCGTCGTAGTTTCCTACTACTTCAATGCGGTTTGGATCGGAAGAAGGTGTCACTACTTCTGTTTTATTTTTTTCATCGTCTCGTTTTCTTTTCATTTCGTCGCGTTTTCGGGCATTCTGAGCAAGTCTGGTAGATAAAGCGACCTGCGCTTGCTTATAAATCGAAGATAACTGACAAGTGATCCCTACTTCATATTCAGCCGCGCAACACTCGTCAAATATTCTTTTTTCAATCATTTTCAGAAGTTTTATTGCAACTTTACGGATTTCCAAATCGGGATCTCCGACTTTGAAGAGTGCCAATGCAATAATCTTATGTGGGTGCTTTAATGGATAAGTGGATACTTTGAATAGCGTTTGTGCAATTGCTAAAAAGTATCCTTGAGTCAGTTTATTTGATGGGTTTCCACTATAGGTTTGATGAATGGAGGTATCTAATAAATGCGTAGAATTCGTGTTGGAAACGAGTAATCCTTCTATTGCTTTCCTATTAATTATCGGACGGATATTTATTTAGTATCATTTAGACTAATATATATATTTCAAAATGTGAAATCAAACCTCGCTATAGGATGCAATTTATCTTGGGGGTCCGCAAATACGGATTCAATCCATTTGAAAAGAGACTGGACGTCAAAAGAAGAAGGTTTGTTGTCATTCACAAAGAGTGGTCCTCTCTATATAAAGATTGTAAAAAATTTTCAGTTCATAAAAACATGTCATAAACAATTAAAGATTTGATAATAACTTACACATAATGATGCCATTGCGTTTAATGCGGCTAATTCTAACGCTTTTCTTTCAGTTTCCAACTGTGCATGCCATGGGCGTCGTTCTTCTGAGTCTTTAGGATATGTTTCTAAAATAGTAGAGATAATTTTCCCTTCGCGATCACGATTCTGTTGTCCTTTTGGTCCGTGTCCACACCATTCTTCAAACATTTTGAATAATTCAATTCGCATGTCAAACGACATTATCTCCATTTCTCGTTTAATATTGTTCAATTGCGAAATGCCATCGTATAGTTTTTCCACAAGGCCACAAAAGTATTGCCGAAGTTTTTGCCATTCCCACTCAATTGGAAACTCGGTTTCGCGCAAGAAAATATAGGTATCTTTAACATAATTCATTATCGTTGTGTGATTGTGTATATTGTTCGGGTTCATCAGGAAATGTGCAGTTAATTGAAGAACATGAGCAATTTCGGTACGAAGACGATCGTATCTTTTGATTCTTCTGTGAATCGAGGAGTATGGTTTATTTGTGGTCTTTGTTCGATAATCATCATTTACCGATTGAATATACGGTTGTAAATCGTCCAAAAGCACTTTATACACAACATCATTGATATTTCCAAGTGCAGCTACTACAGCTTCTCTGATCAATGTATGTTCAGAAGTCAGGAAACCTAATATTCGCCGGAACAAAGCTCGTGCAGAAGTTATTCGCTCAGTATGTGAGGCTTCCGAACGTTTTCGATCGGATGTCCAATGACGATCCATGTAATCATCGGGGTGAGTGATTGTAGAGCAAGCGACAATCAAGTATGAGCGCCATTGACTGACAATCTCGTCATTAGGTAAAGGTTTTAAATGAAATTTCGACATGGATAACGATCCCGTGGGGGTTCGAGAAACATACTCGTTTGCATTTAAAATTGCATTTTGCATTTGAATAATTCGAAGACAAACATTATTTCGACATAATGCAACTGTCACCGGAAAACATTCAAAACATATTTTCATAAATTCCGGGAACAAATGTGCCCAAATAACAGCATCTGCGTTATGTTCACTTTCCAACAAGCGTAGAAGAATATCCTTTTTTCCTTGTAGTAGTAATTTTTGCAGTCGAATCTGTTCCACTATTGTTAACGCCGTCTGCGATGCATTCACCGACAATTTATCGAATTTTATAAGATCACCACCGCCACGTTTCAAAACATGAATAATTCGCGTGTAGGGTTTTTTATCGTCGTTACTGGTTGCAGAAAAAAGTAATTTTGAACTCGATCCGGACTGTGAATCTGAATTTAAAGGTGACATAATTTCGTACCCCACAAGTGTAATATCATCATGGCTACGTGATTGTCCATGATCACCTTGTCTTGAGTTTGAATCATCTCTGGCGCATCGTTTTTCAAATTCTGATTCAAGTTCAGCGACAAGCATTAGAATATTAACAGCATATTTTCTAATTAGACATGATTGACTACACAGGAATAATAGCCCATTGGCTTCTGCTTCTTCAATAATTGTCCCTATATTTGTGTCTTCAATTTCGTGTGTTGCATTATTATTTTTGGGGATTTCACCTGTCTCTGGTGATTCTAGACCATCATTATTAGACGGGGAAGGAGGATTTTCACGTAGTTGAGCCAGCCATACACGTAATAATTCAATATACAATTTTAACGCCCCACCAAATTTTGTGCCCATTCCAGGACCAGTTCCAGCTAAAATTTCCGCGTATTTATCTTCAATCCTATAAACAAATCTCGAAAATCCTATAATTACAATTTCTGCACCACATTGATTTGCAATTCGTCCCAATGCATTAGCGGCAACTTTTGCAAGATCAGGATCAAGATGCACAGTATAACGACACAACATATCGACAATACGTGACTTTGGAACATTCGGAGGTAATATTCGCGGAAGTGCACGTACATAAGTTTTCAATAAATCTAAATACGGTTGCCGTTCTCTTGGATAAATAACACATAATGTGGCATACTGATGAAACACACTAACATCGCTAACTTGGCTAACAACCCCCGGGCCAACTGTACTCGAAATAGAACCACTTCGTGTAGCCAAATGCCGTTCATCCAGCACGAGCATATGACCATGTGTATTATCAACAACCGACGCAATTGTATACGCGATTTCGCAAAACTTTGTGAACGTTTCTTTTAGACCCGGACGAGTAAAGAAACTCTCTGGAAGGATGTCTGATGTGTTTCCCATTCCTGATAATAATGATTTGATGTCTACCAATTCGATATTAGTCGGAAAAGGTGGTCTCGCTTCCATGTTTTGCATTGCTGCTAGTAACAAGCCAAACGCACGAATACCTATGTTCATTCGTTCAGCGTTTATATTATCGAGTGTGACCGACTTATTGTTGGTCATCACTTCCGAATTAAGTAAATAGAATATAAGATTCTTTAAGCAGTATTCGTAGTGCTGTGGTTTGAATCCTATATAGTACACGTAGAGTACAAATAATTCGAGACACACTTCTGATGGCGTAATTGAGGTTTTATTTAAGGGAAACAGAATTCGATTTATTGTGTCGAGTTTTTTTTGTGTATTTCCGGTGGTTTCGGTGCATCTGTATAAAAATGTCCACACCAGCCGTATAAGACAGCCTAATGTCATGTGACGGCGATCTTTCTCCTAACAAATTTAAAATTATATTAAAGTGATTCGCTCTCAATCAAATATTCGCATCGAATTTTTTCTTATATATGAAAATAAGAACCTTGAACCTTGCGAAACAAGCTTCAGCACATGACCACCATCTCTGAGCAAAAAAATCTCGTTGACTAACACATAGTAAGGTAGTTGCAAATGTATATGCCACCTATAAATCAAAAGTAGAAAAATTGAGATCGATAAATAGAAAAAAAGATTCGGCTTTAAAAAAATAAATTTCATCATTTAAAAATTACTTACTTCACAATGCCGAGGCTTTTCTGTCATCTTCCACGCTTTAGGATATACCATTTCTACTGCTTTCACCCATACAGGATAATTGACTTCTGCTAATGCCACCTGATTTTTAAAATTAAAAAAGCATGTTGGTGAATGCAATAATAATGAATTTATAATTTTTTTATAAAAGCAAACTAAGTATACTAATGAATGATCATAGTCATAATTATAGCATACCCCAGCAATAGGCGTCAATAACTGCACAAATAATTCCGCATATGCATGTTTAATTTTAGTTCCAGTAGCAATTTTCAAAAATCCAGCCAAACTTTTCAAGAATTCCGCAGTCTCCTCTAATGCTCCTTCAGGATAAATCTTACAAAAAAATAAATATTAATGTAATTCATAATAAAAAGCCAAAAATTTTCATAATACCAATAAAACAATACTCACCTTCAATTTCAAATATCGCATTCCCTTTATAAGCATTGTAATCTTCGCTTCGTGTTCTTTAACCACACTCGGTGGAAATTTTGCATATTTTTCCAGTTCGGCTATGAATCGATCTGACACCGTCGGAAACCGAATATTTGAAAGTGAGCCAATTAGCTCAGCGTATAGATTGAAACTGGCTTCGCGATTGCGAACTCGCTGTATCAATTCCCTTTACAAAAAAGATATTATCAAAATTTATATTTATGAACAATAGCATAAAATATTAAAAAATTTTAAAGTTATTGTCCTGTCTTTTGTTTGAGAAGAAAATACATACGGATCTGATCCTTTTATCAATTGGTCAAATATTAATGTTTCTAGTTCGGCGCCACGGTCTTCTCCTAATGCATCAGGTTGCAATTGCTTTGTTATATCGAGAAGCGCGCGGCATAATATATACATAGTAACTTGCTTTTTGAAATTAAAAAATTTTTATGCATTATGAAAATATTAATATTTAGCAGATTTATGAATCGGCAACTGTGTGTTGAGGGATATAATCTTATATTTCAACATACCGCTTTGCGTTCAGTCAAAATTCCTTGAGGATCTTTAACACGCTCAACCAAAGCACCATCGCTCCTAAAAATCACACATAACTGTGAATAAAATCCTGGAATTCTTTCTTCATATCTGAGAACCTTTCTCTCACATAAGATTCTAAACTGGAAGTAGCAACACAACAAATCTCAATAGACTTACAATTTTCGCTTGTGAGTCGGTGCATCTGGGGCATCTGATGATTTTTCTGTTTTCTCTTTACGCCACAACATCATCGTGTCTATCAGCGACCGTGGTCGATGTCTCACAATGTATCCCAATGAATTCAACAGTTTGTCGAAAGATTGGTCGGCGCCAGGTCCAACGATTTTCATGAAATCAGGTTCGCGGTCCTTGTTTTTTATTAAATGAATCAATGAATTATGTTATATAGAGATAGATTGAGTGTAATAGTTAGAACGAAAATAAAGTTGCCTTTTTGGAAAAGAAAAATTAAACTAGAATCTAATGTTCGTATCAAAAAAATAATTTAAGCAAAACTTTGGACAGAAGTCTTTATTCAAAACCTTGTAAATAAAATAAAGACATGGCCATTCCACAAAAGCATTTCTACGTTACAATCTCTGCCTCCCTTCTATGACATACACATTCTGTCCGTGCATCATACATGTACTTTTACAAACAGGAGAAACTAGTTAATTACCTACCACATTCCAACTCATTATATTATTCAGCTTTCTATCCGCCGTCTTAATAAACTGCTTATAAAGTATCAACATAGCATAATCAGCCGGGGTTTTGGGTTCTGAAGCCATGGCGGGTCTTTATTTAGGTACATGAATCTTTGGAAAAACAAAAGCTACAAATCACAAAAACTCTGCTTGTCAACGCACTAGTCAACGCTACTTGTCTCAAAACGAATCATATGATCTTGCTCGTTCTTTGATATTATTGGAACTTGTATCGCGCATATTTTAGGTAATTATTGCCTATATAGATGTATCGAATAATAACATATGGATGATCTTGCATACGAGACAATCAATTTTCAACGCAGTCATTGTTATATGTATGTAGGTTGTTTTTCCCCACTTTACATTCAACGAATACACCTTATTTATATTTTTTCCCCCTGAAGAACAAAGGTTTGTACGAATCCATATGATTTGCAAGATGCGACCATTATCATCATTTTCTTTGATATTACGTACATGCATAATTACATGCATCATCAAGCGTATTCAATTTCGATGTAAAGAATGTAAAAGGTGAGCATTAATCAGACCAATAAAAAAGGAATTGTATATTTTTATTTTGTATAATCAATTTAAAAGAATCAAATAGACACAATTAATTATTTGTTGTTTTATTGGCATCATGATCGATTGATTCAAAATCGTCCAAAACAATAAAAATGACCATAAAAAGATAATAAACAATCGAAATGACAACCAAAAATGTATACAAAGTAAAAAAAGGAAAACTCACAATTTTGTAAATATTACCATTGTGTTTGTTATTTTGATGTATTCTTTATTTGGAATAATTGGATAGGTTAAAAAGTCCGTGGTGATTTTCTTTTGAGTGAGAGAGCACGAGACGCAGCTTACAGATCACAAGTAGTGTGTGTGTGCACGCGCAAGAAACAAATGTTTTTATTACAAGTAAATGTCCCCAGTAGTAGCTGCAGTAGGAAGTAGTAGTGACGGACAAGTTGCCCAATTAATCAAAATAACCGTTATCTGCATCTGTTGTTGAATTGGGTTATAGGAAATGGCACATATTTGAAAAAAATGAATATATATTTTGAGAGTAGTAAACTGTAAACATAAACTACCAAAAAAAACTCAATCAACAATAAAACCACCATTCCAGCCTTTATCCGTCCATCCGCCCACCAATCCAGCCAGCCAGCCATCGAAACCATAAATTAATTCAACTGACAGATAGATAGACAGATAGACAGACAGACAGACACACACAGACAGACAGATACAAATACATAAATAAAATAACAAAATTGAAGATTTTTTATTAATGTGTCCAGCACTCTCCTCAATCTACTAAAACTTTAAAAAACCCAAACAATACAATATAATCGAAACCTCTTTATATCCGGCGTCTGATCGGTAGCGGGAACGGATACTCATCATCATCTTCATTATTATTACTGTTTAAATTGAAGCCCATATTGGCCATGCTATCAGCAATTTGATCAGTATTTGTATACACACCATTATTACCACGAATTCTCGGTGATCCAGGCGCAGACAAAGGTTTCGGAAGCTTCACTTTGGAATTATGTAAATCGCTAAGATCATGTCCCGCAAATGAGTCAGGATATGTACGATGAAGAGCAAGTTTCCGTGCTCGTACGTACTCCATTCCCATTATTTTCCAATCAAGTAGATCGGATAATCGTTCAGTGCGATTACGTTGATTGATTCGTTGACGTCGTGTTTTTTGTGCAAACGTTAACATGTAGTTGGCCAGTTGTTGAATCGATTCCTCGACGGATTTCATTCGACGATCGACAATATAAATACCATAATCTGCTGGATTTTCGATAGTTTCGTCCATGTAACAACCGAAACCTGATAGATTAGTAGTTATCGACGGCAACCCCATAACTGTACATTCAGCCGGGGTATAGCCCCACGGCTCATAGTAACTCGGGAAAACGCCCAAATGACATCCACGTACGAAATCATCATAGTCCATTCCAATTAACGGGTTGTTGGCGTTCAAGAATTCCGGATGAAATATCACTTTTACTCTGTCTGATGGGTTATTAAATAAATGAAGGCGACGTAGCTGATTAAGAATTGGATCGTTACTGTCGTCTGCCATATTGTGTGTCACTATTGGCGGAAGTGTATTCCGTTTAAGCGCAATCACACGTCGTTTCAGTAAAACTTTTTCTTCGGCGCTAAGTAACTCTGATGGATCGATGACTGCACCGGTAATGTCACCACTTGCATAATAAAAAAATAATATAATTATATACTTTGTATTGGAATATTCATAGAAATGTTTTATTATTTACCCAGTGTATCGAGCAGCCTTCTCAAATATACGTTGCCCAATTTTGTCCGTTATATCTTTGACTGTTTCCTGTAGACTCTTCGTGACAGCTTGACCTTTTAGAGCTTCAACCGTGAAAGAATGTGTGGCAGCAGGCATAATTATAAACGCAACCACAGTCATCGGTGAGTTGCAAGCCTTTAGACGGTCATTTAACCCTACAAGATATTCAATATTTTTAAGGAATTTATATCCCAATATCAAATTAGAGAAAAACATTTTCATATCCGAAATACTCACGTGCTAACGATTCAATAAACATATCAACACCTTTATTTCTGTATTCATAACGACCAGCCGTGAAGAAATATAGCGTGTTATCGAGATCGAAGTCGTAATAACCGTAGAAATGACCACGAATAAAGTTATGAATTTTTTGCTTATTGACTGCGTGTAAATTCTGGAATTCATGCATTGCAGAGAATTTTACGACATTGATTCCATTTGGAAGTATTCCATCTATTTGTTTGATTATTATCATTAACTTTTTCGACAAAAAAAATGATTAAAGAAAACGAAAAAAACAAACCAGGTTTTCTCTTTAGCAAATGTTCTGCTTCATATGCAGTGATATCGCTCACAGTGGTGAACACATCAGAACAATGTGAAGCAGCACGTTCTACGCAGTATCGATGGTAGATGCCACGTTTTCCAGCCTCTTCATCCACAGTGAAATTTTGAATATTATTATAGAAATCGACAGAGCCAGCGCAAAGATATCGACCGAGGAGGGTGGCGTGAGTTGTGAATATAGTTGTGACATCAATATGACGTTTTCGGATAAGTGGGATTGCTACGCCAGATAACCATTCGTGGAAATGGGCAATAATAGCCTTGTCTCTTTCGCGTTGCGTAAACTATTAAATAAATATAAATTATATACTGATAATCATAATAAATTTAATAAAATGGATTAACAAAAGTAATTACTTCTCCCAAGAACCAAGCGATCAGATAACCAAACAAGATGGCTTCGTTAGTTTCGGTATCATTTGGAGGTGAAGGAATATTTGCCACATTCCATAAGTCTCCTTTCCATTCATCCATTCTATCTATCACCGACTGTGTATCGAATAGGATTACACGTGGAGCTCCTTCAATCAACCAACGACCGTACATGTATCTCACACCTTGCGAAGCCATGCACTGAAGAACTTCACGAACATGCGGTGTGGTTGGCTCTTCGGGTTCCACTTCTGCGGCTGCAGTTTTGTATGAAAGAGGTCCGATTAGGGTGAATCGATCACCGTATTCTTGACATGTTACCGGGGCTTTGGTTTTGATGACGGTATAAATTCCACCGACTGCGATTGAAGGGAAATATTTGATCAATCAATTAAATTAAAAAATTTAATAACGGGATTACAGTCGTAAAAGAAAAAATATATATTTTTCTTTCTTGGCCAATTAACTAATTAAATTTTCAAATACTATCGAAAAAACTTATGTAGAATCTAAAGCAACCTATTCTCACCTTTATTAGCAACTTCCCAAGCAATTTCAAATAATAATGGATTATGTACGTCTCGGTGCGGCATAATTATTGGTTTATTTTTTTTAACTTTTATATACTTTTCTACCAGGAAGCGAAAAAGAAACTAAATAATTGTCACAAAAACACGTCGTCGAAATGTTCAAAAAATTGTTCAAATTGCAAGATATCGTTCGAACTATCGTGTAACACAAACACACGCGAGAAAAGGAGCTGACAGAGAGAGGAGGGAAAGGGAAAGGAAGAAAAACTAGCAAAAGTAGTAGCCATTTTATATTATGCGCAAAAAAAATCGTTTGATACTAATACTAATAATTATTATCTTGATATGATTATTATAAAAAAATATATATATACTAAAAATAAAAGTATAGTGATGTGATAAACTTGATTCGAATTTTTTTGTGTTGGTGCCTAGGCTAGTAAATTCGAATGGTGTGATTTGATTTAAAAAGTCAATTTGGCGAATTGATTTAAAAATAAAAAGTCAATTTGGCGAATTTCTTTAACTATATGCAACATACAAACACAACAATTAGAGTAATGATGATGAAGGGCGCATTAGTAAGAGATAATTTTGCTTTGGATTAAGTTATCTTGATACATCACAAATGATCATTATCAACTAAATCTTTTGTTGTTAGTTTGGTATGATGGCGACGGTAAGTGCCGAAAAGCAATGTCTGTATGCATTTACATGCTTTTACATGTGCAGAAACTCACTCGCCCCATAATTAGAAAGAGTAACGATAGACACATGGGTGAGCTGTATATCTAATGTCCTTTTCGCGATAATTTTGCATTTTGCATTTTCTATTCTTTCTTTGTGATTTTACGTATATATATATATTATCTATCGTAAAGTTGGATTTGTCGTCCTTAGGCCACACAGATACTTATATATATAGCTGATTATTTTTCAACGCGCTATTAAAGTTTTGTACCGGACTGATAACGATAATCCAAAAATTTGGATTTCCGTGCTACAGAATCGAATTGATAAAAATTTTGCGACTGTTACACTATACATGTAAACTGTCTAATAATAACTAATCCAACCACGCTCCAGATATCAATATAGTTTACTTTGACTTTGTTTCTAATCTCTGATATTTTTGTTGCAAATATTCGATGGAACCCGTGAAATGGTAAAAAAATGTTCGAGTCAATCCCGTCTTTTAAGCATTGTTTATATTCGTTCCAATATACATCAACTTTAGTAAGATTAGTTCTGAGAGAATTCACAGCAAAAAGTATTTGTAATAGCTCATTTTCTGCTATTATTCCGTCATTGTAGTCGTTTACCGCATTAAACCAATGGTTTTTGATCTTTCCCTCCGCCTCTCGTTCCCCATCAAATACTTTTGCGTATCACGAACAATATACGTACTCTGATCTAATTTGAAGATAACTCTTTAACCCGGAAATCATCGAGTCCAGCACCGGCAAACGGCTTTGTATAAGCTCATTCGCGTATTGACAATGAACTAACCAACATCTTTATATCACATATTTTTGTACATTTGTTAGTAATTGGTTTTATTATCTATTATCTAGCTTTAAAGACATGAGACGCGAAATCATTTATTTTACCGTCTCGACAACACATATATTTCCACAAAATAGCATCAAAATCCGAATTTCATAAAATAAAGCTAAACGAAATCATATTTCAAATAGGAAACGTTGACTATTAAACGAACTCTATATATATAACTATGAAATTCATTAATCATATGACCAAAATACCCAGACTACAGAGATTGCTCGAGAACGAGCCATGGAACCCAACAATCGATCCATAAGTTGAATAAACTTTATATTTCCTATCTTGACCACTTCCAATCCATCCGCTCTTTCTTCCGGAAGTGGTCTCAATTTCTAATCCCTGGATTACGCTTCCAAACGCCATCCATAAATATTTGACTCGTTCACCCTGATTCCAATCGAAATCATGTGGAGTAACGTCACCAGGTACCCCGTAAATGTCTACAGAATCATCGTCATAAAAGAATGCGATTGCATGGATCACGTCCGAATACCAAATGCGAAGTTTTTTTAGATAGGATTTTTTGAATAGGTGGCCTGAGGTTCGGACAGAACCGAACACAAAAAAATATAGATATATAGGTTATATATATATAAGACATTAATAAATTTATACGAGAATCGAATGCAGAACCGAACCCTTAGGATCCTTAGAGCGGTCGATCCAGGCTTTGAATTCTGTGCAATCTCTATTTTTCTCCTTGTATCCATTTTTATTGTCTAAAAGCGGGTGATCATCATAGTTTGATGATGGTTTCCCTTGTATTTTGTTATTTGAATCAAACATCGTCTGATGACCTTCTTTTAGATCTCGGATCGAATCCTTCAAATCAATAAATCGTGCTTTAGTTGGTTCCTTATTCGCACGCGCCAAATCCAATTCTGTCTTAACGTCTTGTAAATTTCTTTTATATGTGTTTAAGTATAGGTCAACTACAACGAGTTTGTGAGACAATGTTTTGAGAGAATCCATGACAAAATGTATTTGTCTTAACACATTTTCTGATTGGATTCGGTTTTTGTAATCATTTATCTCGCCAATCCAATGCTTTTTGATTGCCAGATCCGCTTCTTTTTCTCCATCAGCCAAATCCTCGTTGGTATTCGAAGCAGCTTTTTCTATTAGGTTCGAAGAAACAATGACTTTCTTTAACTTTGGTTGAAATTCGTGAACCTTTGATTCTAAAGAATTTAAGCTTTGTTTTATATAGATGACCGCATTTTGACCTGTATTTTTGATTGTATTTTCGAATATTGTAAATGTTGAATTTGAATTTAGCTATAAATGCAAATAAAGGTGGATGCGCTCACTTGATATCTTTTTCGATAAAATTTCATCGATTTTCGCCATTTCGTGGTCTATTGATTTAAAGAATTTCAACGCGTCGTAATGAAAATCAGCTATCGTCTCACCAAATTCTTTCATTTCTTTTGCTAGATCTTTGAGCTTATCCGAAAGGATGTCTCCAACTCCCGGAACCACATCATTTTTCTTAAGTAATGAGGCAAGATCATTCAAGATAATACGTTGTTGGGCCATCAGCCATGTTCCTTGAAAAGATAAGTAATAAAGATGCGAGTTTAGAAATTAAAAATTTGAAAATTATATTAATAAGAATACCCTTATGAATTTTTTTAGTCGGTAAATCCGCAAAATGATCAAATGTCTGTTCGCCCGAATTATGATTCTTGGTTTATTAAATTTATGAAATAGATAAATAATTAAGATCAAATGCAAAAAAAACAAACAATGATTTCAACTTACAAAATAGTAATAACCTCCGAAAATAAACAACAACATAAACATCAATAATTTGACTCTAATGTATCTCACGTTCAATATATTTTGCCACAATAAACGAATAATATTGACCTTGAGTGGCCTTTGATTTTGTGGGGTTGCTTTTGATGACGCGCGTTATTAACGTTTTTTATTATGGTCATTATTATTGTTTTTGGATGAATTGTAGAATCGTTGCAGATTATCGACCATTAATGAACTTTATTTTGATTATTACGTATCGGTATACATACCATCGACGGCTTTGTTATCATCATTATTAGTTCCACCACTTAGTTTTTTATGACGTTTGAATTCGATGCTTGCATTTTGTTTATAACTATCACTATCGATTTCTTTACCTTTTCTTTTGTTTTCGTTTTCAGTTTCGTTTTCTTGATTTCCTGATACTTGTATCATATTTTAGCGTATTTTTGACCAAGAAGAAGAGCAGGATTATTATCTATTATATAAATACGAGAAATGGGAAAAAGACTTCATTATTTATCATTATTACGATATGATATCAGAAAATAACTGTCACGAGTGATCAATGTACGTAGCGTGAACAACAGTCTTTATTCTCGTGAGAATACTAGTTCCGTTGACTCTCATGCTAAAATAGTTTAATTGCTAAAATGTTTTACTAACGCCAAATAATTTCCTGACGCCATGTTTGTTCGAGAAATGAATCCTTCTTGTAAAGAATCAGGTGATAAAACGCTGAGTTAGAATTTACTATATTGATAACTTTTATAATATTCATTTATCCGTTCAATAGTGAAGTTGGTTCCGCGAATAAAGGATTTTCTCATAATCTTTAGCCTATTAAATTTATTAATACATAATTAATTGATATTCAACTTTAAATACACATCGTGATTCTATATACGTACTTCAACTTGCAGAATAAGAATCACAAGCATTGATAGTTTGACTTTAAAATTCTTCATGTTCCATAAATTTTGCGAATATACAATTTGCATAGATGTTCTTTAATTTTATGCGAACATACCGATACCGATACAGTACTAATGTTGGATCATTGCATATCGATATCGATTTCGATTTGTTACTTTTGAGAGTCAAGTAAGTTCTTTTAACCCTCCACTCAATATTCTTCTGTTATTATTGTTACTATTGTTGTGATTTGCATTAGCTTCGTTCTCAACTTTTTTTGATTACTTTTTGATTATTTGGTAATTGTGTCATATTTTAGAATAGATCAAAGATAGTTCTTTTAGTTTGATTAATTCTGGTCAAATGTAGTTTAGACATTAGGTGTTGTCTATAGATTCGACACATTACACAATTTATTTTTGTCACAAGTCCTTTATGAATTTAAACATAATTAATTAATTAATTTTAAGACTAGCATTCGATGAAGTAGTGTTTTTACCATAACGATAACGATTGTCATGTCGTCGTCAGTATACTGGGTGTTTCTTTACATCAATGGAATTCTTCAGACGACTCAATCAGAACACCCAATAATTGAATAAACAAATTAATTTAGTTTATAAAGTGACTTTATGATAAGTAACCTTTCCATGAATCTTGAAAGACAGAGCTTGGTCCGAAGATTCACCCTCGTGAATGGTAACGTCATCATCTTGCTCTAACAAAGCTCTCGTAAGTTCTTCATATTCCTTTTTATATTTAGGATGACGAACTATTACTTGTTTTACTTTGTCAAGCAATGCGGTGTTCAAATAATATTCTTTTAAAAGAGTCTCGAGAATTTGTACGCGTGCTTCAAGCGAAGAATTTTCCGGTTTATCTTTGACTTTTTCGCTAAAAGGAATTCCCGCTGATGATACATATTTCCTTGCTAATTTTTCTTTGAGAGATCGTCGACAAGGCGTACAGCTGAATAGACAAGTTTGCGCCAACCCCCTTAGAATGAAAAAATCTTTAGTAAAAAAAATGTTTACTTCTTCATAGAAAAGGAGATGGAATTAAATTAACACATACCACGGTGATACTCTTTGATCGCCGAAAAACAATACGAATATTCCCACAACGGCAGTATAGAAACCTCCCATCTTTGAAACAATTGATGAACCTTGGGAGAAAAATTCCAATAAAATAAATGTATGCATTATTTATAATAAACCTCACTGTAATTTTATATATCCTCACTTTTTTGTAAAAATCCGTTTGATTCAAATACGGTCATAAGCATCGGTTGATTTGCATTTATGCCAATCAACGTAGTGTTAGTATTGTCGAGTTTAAAAGATAGATTTCGTCGATAGTTTACAACTGCATTAGGTACCAACTCTTTGCTGTCACTAAATGAGTCAAAAAAAGGAATGGTATGACGTTCTAAACCTACATCTAATATATATTGAGTTATCGAACCGAAATTGACATAAATTGAACTATGCTCTTTAAAGGAAATACTATTATCGGTATTATATCCGAAATCACCCGTAGTCAATTGGACTTTTTTGAATCTTAGTTCAATCATATACTTTATCTGTTTGTCGTCTTGAGAATGTGTCAGTTTATCGTCTTTCAAGTGGTTGAAAATATCTGAAACGGTGATCCAAGTTGTGTTGAATGGGTTATCGAAATTGGTGATTATGTTCTCACAAAAAGATGTCACATTCTCATTATTTAATGAAAATGGCTCGAAAGGATGGTTTCCACTAAAATCTATGAAAACGTCATTATTGTAAACCCTAGAGACATTCATTTTCACCAAGCAGATGTCAAGGTCTATTCAATTTTGTAGCGAACATACACGTGAGTGTGTGTAATCGACAAGAGTTCAGAAGACAAAGAGCTATCTCATCAAACGACTTACTCAAACCAAGTTTTCCTTTATCGAATTCTATTGTATCAAAGTATGAATTGTAATTACGCCGAATTCGGTTCAATTGTGTAAAATAAAAAATCATTGAAAGCGTTGCTATCAAAGCAATTAAAGCTTTGATCGTTTTGAACCAAAGTGGTTCAGTAGTTCTTTTGTTAAAAATTGCATCATGAAGAAACATTGTTCGTGAAAGTAAGATTCATCATCGTGATACGTTCATCTATTTATATGCATAGATCGAAACTTTCTCATGTCATAGACAAACTATAACAGGTCATACACTAATGATATACGACAACAATGGTATGCAAGACACGCATTGCATACATGTACTTGCCTAACAAATTAATTCTCGGATAAAGATCATTATATTTACCCTACTGTGTTTGAATAAAATCTGTAATATCGATGTTTTGCAAAAATCGGAAAACCCCCTTTCTAAGTGAAATAATAGTTTTGTTCACTAGTCTCGATCTTAGTCTTTCTTGATACTTTTTACTCAATTTAATAATAGTTTACACCTCTGGATTAATCTTACAATATAACGAATTACTCTTTCAGTATTTGTTTTTATTTCCGGACTAATAACTGTAAGTCCAACCAACATTACCTTTTATTTATCATCAAAAAACATTTATTCTGATATCTTGCAAAATAATCTTTACAAATACTGTTTAGAAATTTGAGATATGCATGCGTCTTTTTAGCATTACAAGTTTTTCCTTGTTTTTATTGTGGCCAATTAATCTATTATCGTGCCGCTTGTATTACTGTAATTTTAAAAAATACAAATTTTTTTCTCGGGATTAATTTTCAAATCGGAAAATTAATTCAAAATAAATTTATGACACACTTTGGCTCGTACTTTTCATTTTAGTTTACCACTTTAAGACTTAAAACTTTTTTATTTAACTCGACTTGCTATTTTATTCTGGTTTCTGAATCTGGCTTATTTTGTTGCTTTCGTTATATTGTTGTCGTAGTAACTCTAAATTCTCTAATTCCATAATTTCTTTACATTATTATTTATTATGTATTACCCAGTCACATTTTGTATGGTTATCAAATTGACGTTACATGTATTACCATCACATGTATTACCGTTACATGTAATCTGTTTTTATAATTATCTTCGTACATGTGTTATCTAGCTGATAATTTTAGTAAATATTATTTAGCACTTAAAATATTATGTTCCTTTTTTAGAAAATTTCTTTAATTAAACTCTTTCTTATTTATGTGTTTAGATAATTAATTGTGTTATCGAGCTGATAATTTTCAGTTGATAATTTTTAGTTGATAATTTTTAATGAATACTTCTTGTGAATACTTTCTACAGTGCAGGTCACTTAGTTACCACAATTGGCCAAATCTTTAAGACCTATTAACTCAACAATCTGAACTTTTCCAGTCAAAAAATACATAATGTTATAGAGTAGTCAATAAACTATTGATTTACGTATTTTCTAATTATTTTGAGAGCTCTGATATAATTTGAAGTTAATTTTTTTGTGTGGTGACTAAGTGACCTGCACTATAGCTGATATTTTTGTTTCTATTCTTGTAAGTCTATAATATGAAATATGTAATTAGTTTAATCAAAGAATTATTATAAAGAGCTTCTCTTAAGCATGTTCCAATTCAATAAAAGTGCCAACTTGTAAAATATACTTATTTGTTAACAAATCTTTTTACTTGATCAACTTCACAAGCAGCATGTTATTATTTTTTCACTAGTTAAACAAACTTTTGAGAAAACATAACAATATTTACAGAATTTTTTTCAAACAAATAATAGCTTTATCTGAAATATATAAAAAATAAAGTATTTTATTTCATACAAATTTCACGTGTTTGGAACTGACAATATTTTATATTAATATTATAAGAAGTTACTAGAATAAAAAAATAATCAATCCAATTATTATAATAATAATATATGTTCTAATTTTAACAATCATTCTTTTTTTATCTTTATAATTATGAGAATTAGTACAAGTATTTTATTACTTTGTTTAAAAATCATATATATATATATATATATATGATTATTAAATAAATTTAATTATTTAGATATTTAAAATACCAAAATAATATATATATATTCATATTCTATGTTTTATATTCTTTTTTACTAGATTATATATTTTATATTTTAGTAGAATAAAGTAAAATCTATTTGGTTAATCAATCTGCAATATTTATTTGGAAATATTTTAAATATAAATTTATAAATTTAATTATTTAATTATTTATCTAAAATAAATAAAATTATCTAACTTATTTTTACTTGATTTGAAATGATTTGTTTGAATATAATAATTATAATTCTAATATTTATTAATATAATTATATGTCATTAAAAACTTGAAAAATTCTTGGTAAGTGTAAAAATTTATTTTATTTATTATTTTTAGTATGCAAACTTCTAGAAGTATATCAATATAAAGATAAAAATAATAATAACAATAATAATAATTATAATATATAATTTAATATTTATTAAAATAAATATATATAACTTAATAAATTAAGTAATTATTTTAATTATTGCTTAATAATTTAACTTGTTTTATATTTATATAAATTAAGTTTATTTTTTATATTAGTAATTTATAAGAAAAATTATATAATTTGATTACTAACTGAATTTTATATTCTGAAAAGTTGATTTAATAAAGTATTATATTATTTGTTAAATAATATAATATATCAATATATTCAATAATTTTTCAAGATTTTAATGAATTTTTTGTTCTTGTAGAATTTAGTCAAAAAATTAATTTTACTAATATTTTGAATTGCAATATAATTTGTTTTTAGATGGTAAATATAGATACAAAATTTAGATATCATTTTTCTTTTTACTTTTAATTCTTGTTTATATTAATTAGCTAATTTATAATTAATAAAAAATATGTAATATTTTGCTTCCTTTGTGAATTTAACTTCTTTTAATAAACTTTTAATTTCCAAAATTCTTTTATTTTTATATAAGAAAAACTCTTTTATTTTGAAATTTATTTTTTTATATTATTATTATTTTGAGTTTTATATATGAAAATATTTCTAAATAACAATAATAATTGTATTTATAACAATTTACTTTGAATATATGATTAAATAGTATTTATAACAAGATAAAAATAATAAAAATAAACTTAAAATATAATTAAACTAAAAGAAAATTTAATTAAAAATTATTTCTAACTTTAAAAATAAATCAAATTAATATAACTAAAAAACTTAAAACTAAATCAAAGAAACTTAAATTAATCCAAGAGAACTTCAAATAAAAATAAAAGAACTTGAATTTTATTAATTATTAGTACTTGTATTTATATATGAATTCATATTATATTAGCACAATATGATACAATAATATATAGTGTGATATAATATAATATAATTATAATATAATATGTAATACAATAAATTTATACTATTATTATGAAATTATTGATTCTTTTTAAATTATACAAAGAGCTAATTATATTATAATTAATAATCTTATTATATGCTAAAGTACTAATAGCAAAATAGAAAATAAAAGTTAACCAATTATAGAAAATAATAAATATGTTAAGAGAATTATGTAATTAATATATTCCATTTAAAATAATAATAAATTAAAAATAAAAAAATAAGAAATAATAAGAAAAAAAGAAAAAGAATATTTTTGACTTAAATACATAATTAAGATATTATTGTGACTAATTTTATATAATTGCACTCCTTATTTATGTGTTTATTATATTGGATTAGTAATAATATCTTTATAAATTATTTTTATTTTATTTTTATAATTAAAAAGTATGACATTTTTTACTATTAATACAAATACTTTAATATGTGCAAAGATTCAGTCAGTATCAACTGTCAGCAGAGCAATAACTTGTAACATCATCATAATTTTATAAATTATCAGCTTTGAACTCTATTTAGTATAAAGTATATGATCTTATCAAAATGATGGAATGGTTTGTTACCATGTTTCGTTTGTATAGAGAAGGAGAATGAATGAGATAAAGTGGATAAATCCACTGTCACAACTCTTCTATTTATTATATATATTATGAATAATTCCATCAGGTCTTTTTTTAAGAAAGTATTATTTGTAATGAACTACCTACAGTAAATGAAAAAATCTCTGCTTCAAATGGCCAAACTCATGAAACATTCTAAAGCCATCTAGTATTAAGCCAAGTGGGAAACCGGTTGGTGGCAGGAGAGTGATTGAGCGTCATTATCTTTCCCGTATGATTATAATCTAGCAGATTGTGTTCAGAACTTGAAGCGACTTTGTATTCGTGCGTAGAGATATTGCAACACTGGCTGTAATGGCAAATGGATTACTATGATCCAAGCACCCTAAGACCCGCACATGATGGTGCAGCTTGATGAAATCTCTGGAAAATCTCGAGACTTCAAGTGGAAACAGGATGAAGGAGCACAGACTAGAAGGTCATCATGTTCATAGTTTGGTGTGAAGCTGCCAGGTGTGGAAATCTGTGTAATAGTATGTAGCAAATCATTCTTATACGGATATGAAAGATATAGTCGATGAAAGGAGAAATCCCTGGTGGGGTGATCAGATGAATATTCTGAGATCGGATAACGGTGAGGATACCACGTAAGTCCTTATCCCATCTTCGGTGTATTTAGTTAGTTGGAACCCCTCGGTTTGCGTCTTAAGAGTTCAACTCTGACCCATTTCCAGTTGTCTAGTCCTTTTAGGGCATGTAATCTGCGTGCGTGTAGCAAGTAATCTCTTTTAAGAGTCTGTGCCTCTACTACATTGCAATTCTAAAAAGAGCTAATCTATTTGATTAGTTATCTTTTGCTTGTATCACCCTTCCTACGAGTATGTAGATACTTTAGTAGTAGGCATCACTCATCGCAAATAGGATAGGTGATTCGACGCTAAATAATTTAATCACTAAGACGCCATCAATATTATTAGGTATAATCTTTGTGAACTTGCTATGGAAGGTATCGTTATTCCTCATGAACATTAATAAAGTAGATCTCATTAGCCTTTCTTTGCTAGAGTCTGAAATTGAAAAAGTTCGACATCCAAGAGTCCCTAAAGCCTAGTTAAAATGCTGAGGTTGTAATCGACCATTTGTAGTTGTGTCTAAAGAAGGAACCAATCGTTTGCCTGTACTATAGGTTATGAAAACTAATGAATTTTCTTTTGAAATGTGTAGTCTCTCCATTGGGGTAATCATAAGAAAAGATTGTTAGCGGCAGTAATACAGTAAGAGTTACCTATGTCGATTCCATGAACAGTGAGAATGCAAAGATTTGAGATTACTAACCCTCTATATTTCTTCGATTCTAGTTGAATAAAGGTAATCGATTCCTTGCTCTGAGCATGCTAATATCTAGTCTCTGCAGTTTATATATAAAGGTTAGGCTCATATCCTATTCTCATGGGATTGTAGTGATACAGTGCCGACTTGGGCAGATTGACCTTCTTGAAACATTTCTTACATCTAAAAAACTAGGTGATCGCTAATCTTGAGTACTAAGAACTGAAACAATGGAAGAAAGTCCTTGACAATGAGGTAAGATAACGACTCGGTCTCGTGAGTATAGACTCGAGTCGATTGGATGTAGTGTACAGCTACTAATTAGGAGAATTATTCTGACGCTTGTTTGAGTTAGCATAATTAATTGGTGTACGTTATAATAGCCAGGTAATGGTGACGCAACCGGTACATATTCTTACGCTTCGGTAGTGAAGGGTACTTGTATATGCTGTATAAGCGTCCTCGTAGGGGAGCCTATGGGTTAGTATGAGTTGGCGAGTACATGTGTGTACTTGTGTTGCTATCTGATGTACTATTGATGAAATTGAATATGTAGTCTTGGCCGGGGGTTTGAAATTTTTAATATGGTTTCTTGTCTGTAGAAACCATAACTACAGGAAGGGTCTCGTACCTAAAGCTTACAAGCAATGCCGGCGGTGGCTGCTGCGACTGGTGTTTCCATATTAAAAGTTTTGGACGATGACTATTATAACTATGGCACCCAATGCCTTACAACAAAACAAGAAGTGTCTAATTCTGCAAAAAGTAGTGTTCTCAGATGAACTTCTCCGAGGAACTAATGGTCAAAGGGTAAGCGCACGGAACCTAGAGCTCCCCCTAGGCAGAGTGTAGTGAAACTTCGGAAAGGTGAAGAATTTACATCCCTAGTTTATGAAGCCGGTCGACGTCGTAGATCGAGTACCTCTTACTCTTCGGACTTTGGGGACATCCGCGAGGGTGTCTGTCGATTAAATAGATTAGTTTAGATGCGGCATATTGTACCGAAACATGAGGAAGGCCTTCTGCGGAAGTGTAAGTACAATATGACAAATCTTATTCAAGGTTGTGTAAGTTACAGATCCGGGTTATAATCCTATCAATGTCAATTTAACGCTAGGTACCTTACCATACCAAATTATGAGGGAGATAGAATTATCATATATGGCATTGAGATGTTATATCCGAGAAATTTGTTTCGTGTAGATTTGCAGGTAGGTTTGGGGTTAGCTTCGTACTATGGTAGTATGAGTTAATTTTCAGTAATTTCGAATGCCTACAGGTGACTACCGTAGTAGTTTGCAACGGTAAACCTTAAACCTCTAATTTGGGAGCAGCGAAGGATGATAGAAATGCTTAAATGACACGGGAACGTACTGATCATCATTAAAGCGTTTTAAATTACAGGATCAATGCCCTCTAGATACTGGTTGCTACGGTAATGATATGGATTGTCATACCATTACTGGGAAAATCTAGGATAACTTAGAGTAGCTATAGTTTGTGTGATAGAATATGACTTGACACTCACTTGGAGAATAGTTAAATCTACCTAATATATATTGTAAAAAGGTAATCTATAGGAGTCGCCTATAGTGAAACCCCGGACGACACAATGAGGACGACAATACAACTATCCAGAATTCACCAGATGCCTTTTTCAGACCAAGAGAATATTTTCACCACATTGTTTGCAGGATTCACCTAGCATATATACAGTAAAAACGCAGTCAGAAAGATGAAAACGCCATTCAGTCAAATTTTACAATTCACTTCACATTTTTATCAATATCTCAAGCCAGACATAACCAAATTTCACCAAAATTGAATTACTAAAACTATAAGACTATACCTATCTGCAATAAAAATTCCGAAATAAATCGATAATACAGTTGTCGAGAACGATCCTGTCAAAGTTCACAAACGGAGAACGGCTGATCGATTTAAAATGATCTACAGCAAAATTTCATCACAAAAAGTTCCCAAACGTTTCAAAAACCATTCAGACAATAACTAGAATATTCCAAAAAGTTAATTTCAACATTGAAACAATCGTTTATAACATTCTCACATCAAATATAACAGTAGTAACTCATCAAAATTCATTCAACTATATTAAAGACAACTTTTTGGAATTGTGAAGTTCAGAAGATCAACTCACAGAAACAACATTATAATTTAATGCTCATATATTGTTAAACAACAATTATAATGTTCAAAAAGTACAAGAAATTCAGTGGAACAAATATAATATATGTATATATATTAAAGTTGAAATATTAAAGATATTAATATTATATAATAATATTTTTTTATATACAGTGACAATCAGAAATAATGCAACGACGTCAAAATTTACTAATTAAACATAGTAAAATGCGTATTTTTCTCTTTATATAAAA